GTTCTTTAACGTTCCGCTGGAAACAAAGATGCCGTGACGCCAAACCCTCATGAAAGAAGGTCGTCGTGTTTACAACTGTGACGACGTGCGCTTCTCAGGATCAACTAAATGATCCGCTGGATTCTCAAAGTGTGTCAAATTTTTAAAGTTCGTGGCACAGAATCTTTAAAATACATCCGAGAGTTTAACACTCTGTTGTCTGTTATTGAGGCAACATTTCCACGCCCCGAAATATGCCGCTGAACGAAACGAACTGTGATTGGTTGTTTGACATGTCGGTCAAACGGCCTCATGGGCGGCCCTTGGCCAAAGAAAGCTGCCATGAATTCCAGACCTTCAGCCGTCAGTCTGAAGGTCTGGCTACGTGAGACTAATTTTTATAGCAATACGTGAGACTAATTTTTATAGCACTACAGCACAGATTTAAGCAGCAGGAAATAACGACCATGGTGCAAAGGGAATCATTTCTGCCGCGGCGCAGCTCCAAGAGAAAATAGTCAACAGTCATTGTTCAGTTGAAGTCGTCTGCATCCGAAAACCCAGGCTGCTGACATGCTGCCTCGCCGCCTATCAGCCAATGACTTCGCAGAAGTGTGTTGAAATGTCTTCTTCTGCGTTCTACTGTACGGACGTAAATGTACTTTCCCTTCAGCCTGAGGCTTATTCGTTTCATTTTTGGTGTGAAAAGGCTTTTATATTTGCCAAAAATAGAACGTTTTTATTTTAAAAACAAACAAGCAAGCCCTGTCCAGATTAAAAAAGTAACGCGAAAGTAACGTAACGCATTACTTTCCATAAAAAGTAACTAAGTCACGTAATTAGTTACTTTTTTATGAAACTGGTTGCACAACTAAAACCCAACTATAACACTATTCACATATAACTATGATGATGCATGCAAGTTTATGAATTTTCTAAACTTGCATGTAGGTCATATTAGACTTTAAAAACAATCACAACGGCCCTCATTACTGATAAACTTCTGGAATGGTGACATGTAAAGGGAAAGGAGTGATATAAAAGCTTTGCTCCATGTTTCTGGTGTGATGTGACTTTCCCCTGCCCATCACCTGAGCATGAAAGTTTATTACACGAACATTTACAGTATAATCAAGACAATCATCATTTGGACAAACTGAGAGTTGCCCAGGAATTCCCAAAGAGAGTACCGTAATACAGTGGTTCTCACACTAGGGGGCGCAAACAGGCTGCAATGTGAACAGATTAATGTGTGCCATCATAAAGAAATTTGGTAGCAGCCAGCTAATAATCTGTAAACAAGATCAATTACACATTACATTGTTGTTGCTATATACATATATATATATATATATATTCTTTAATTGTGCCATTTTACTAGTTGTATTAAGGGTCTATTTTATATGAAATATGTATGTTTACAGACGTAAAACACACATCACGTGGATCTTTAAAATGCACAATGGGGTAGATATGTGAAATTACACCTAAAATGTGGCATCACACAATTACATTTTTCAGTTTCCTGTGGGATTTTCAGTTTCCCACATTTTTTTGTCTCTGAAAACCTGGTGTAATTTGTGTTTTCATCATTATGCTTATAGCTCACTTACATCAGATCTTAAGAAAATCTGTTCAGTTGTGGAAACAAAGACTAAACTAAACCTAACAAAACAAGTGCCATTTATGTTTGGCTCCCAAATGAACAGGATAGCTTCACATAAGTCTACACCATTTCTTTTTTAAATCGTCAATATTCTTTTTCAGAGTTTTCACTTCTTCACTTTTCTCATCTTTGAAGTGTTCAAAGAGTTTCTCCAGTAATTCAAGTTGTTTCTGGCGTTCATCCATTACCTTCTGGAGCTCCTGAATGTGCTGCTCTTTTGTCTCTCTAAACTTATTAAATTCTTCTGCTTGTTTTCTGGCTTCATCTTTATGTTTCTTCTTCATGTCTTTCATTTCCTCTTCATGTTTCTTTTTCATTTCATCTCGCTCTTTCTCTTCTCTTTCTTTTCTCTCCTTCTCCTCTCTTTCTCTTTTCTTGATCTCTTCTTCTTGCTCTTGTTTCAGATCTTCAACTATTTTCTTCCATCTCTTTCTCTCTTCTTCTTGTCTCTCATCATCTTCTTGTTTTCTTCTCTGCCACTCCTCTCTTCTCTCTCGCTCCAGTTGTTCATAATGTCTTTTTGTTTCCTGTCTCTTTTCTTCATATTCTTTCTCTTTTTCTTTTCTTTCTTTTCTCTGTTTCTGTATCTCCTCCTCTATCTTCTGTCTTTCTTCTTCTCTCTCTCTTTCAAATCTCTTTCTCATTTTCTCCAGTTCTTCTTGTTTTTCTTTCAGTTGTTCCTCGTGTTTCTCTTTTCTCTTTCTTTCTTCTTCCTCTCGTTCTCTCATCTGGCGTTTCTTTTCATCCTCCCATTCTCTCTGCTGTCGTTTAATTTCCTCTTGAGTCTCTTTTCTGTCATTTTCAGCTGCTTTTATTTTTCTTTTCCATTCTTGTCTTTCTTTCTCTTCTTTTTCATTCCTCTTTTTTTCATCCAAATCTCTCTTTTTTATTTCATTTTCTTGTTTCATCTGTAATTCCGCTATAATACATTCTTGTTCATGTTTCATCTTTTCTTGATCTCGTCTGTATTTCTCTTCTCTCTTTCTATCTTCTTCTTCTCTTTCTTTCTGCTGTTTTTCATAATCTGATCTCTGATTTTCAATCTCTCTCTTCATCTCTTCTATTTTATGATGATATTTGGCTCTTTGCTCTTTTTCCACTTCTGATCGTTTCTGGTTTTCAATCTCTCTTTTCTTCTGTTCTGTTTTCTCTTTTTCTTCAAACTCTTTTTTGAGTTTTTCCTCTTTTTGTTTCATTTGATTTTCTATTTTCATTCTCGCCTCATCTGCTCTTTGTTTCTCTTCATCAAGTCTCTTCATCATGTTTTCCATTTCAGTCTCATATTTGGCCTGTAACTCTTCTCTCTGATTCTCTATTTCTCTCTCTCTCTCTTTCAGTATTTCCTCCATTCTCTTTCTAATGGACATCTCTGCCTCCTCAAACATGCTGTTAGTGAAATATCGACCCTGATTACTATGTCTCACCTCTTCTATCATGTTTAACAGTTGAATCACTTGAGTTCTGTCTTGTTTTTCTCTGTTATTGAAAACCAGGAATCTGTTTCCACAATCTCTGATCAGCTTCTGGAGGTTTGCATTGCTACCTCTCTTCACATAATCCTCTATAGATTCACCCTGAAGATCGTCTCCTCTAGTGAACAGAACGACGCTGAACTGAGCAGCTTTATGACCAAAGATCTTCTTTATCAGATCCACAGTGTCTGTTTCCACCTGAATGAATCGTCCCACACTCAGCACAATGACAAACGCATGTGTCGTCACTGAATCTGGCCTTAATTGGCTGCGAAACTCATTTCTTCCCAGAATAGTGTTTCCTGTTGCACTCTTTCCATTTCCTGTCCTCCCAATCAGCACAATCCTCAAACACTCTGGATCTTCTGAACATTCGCCACCTGAAAACCATGCATATATTAATATCATGGAGTTCTATTTTTGTTTTGTTTTTTATTCCAAGTTTTATATTAAAAAATCATACACATACAAAATTACTCATGGTCTTTGTTATCACTAGGACAGATTTTTACTTGTCCTGTCAAAATTTTCCCTAAATAAATAAAATATATATATATATATCAACATTTTGGCCCATACCTTTGTATTGCAACAAACAAGCCACCAAAATTGTATAGATAATGTAAAAGTTTCACAATTCTTAATTCCAGTTGCAATACAGCAAAAACTATATCTTAAAGGAATAGTACATCCAAATGAAAATTTGCTGTTAATTTACACACCCTCAGACCATCCAAGATGTAAGTGACTTTTTTTCTACATTAAAACATTAAAGATGATGAAACTGTGGTCCTTAGAAGTCATATAATGGAAGTCAAATGTTACTAACTTTATAAGAGTAAAGAAAAAAACACATACAAGCAAATCAAAATTACTACCTGTGGCTCCTGATGCAACATTGAGGTCAAATGAAGAGAAACAATCGGTCTGTGCAAGAAACTAAACATTATTTACAACATTACGATCTTTAATTCACAGCCTCGGCAAACGGTCCTGAGTGCGTTCACAACAGTCTGGAGCAAGAGCATCCTGTCACATAATATCAAATGTTGGGAATCTGTTAAGTCAGTCTTCCTGATTGAGATCACCCACATGAACGTAATCTTGCTCTTTTATAGGTTGCAGCATCAGGATAAGCACAAGTAAGTGTCATTATGATGAACAACATACACATCCTTCCTCTCCTCACCACAGTCTGCAGCATGTGCTTCCTGTCTCTTATAATGACATACGCTCGGTGTGGGTGAAAACTCACACGTGAACTGGCATTGTACTGTTTAGGGACAAGTGTGCTGTATTGATATGCGTCATTACATGGTTAAATGACTTGCATTGTATGATTCACCAAGGACCACGGTTTCAGCTAAAAATCTTCTTTAATGTTCTGTGTTAATGTTTTAGTGAAGAAAAAAGTCACCTAAAGCTTGGATGGCCTGAGGGTGAGTAAATGAACAACAAATGATCATTTTTGGGTGAACTATCCCTTTAAGACATAACTGACTGTGTTTGTTAGGATACTCACACTCACTAAGATGTGCATTTTGCCATAGATGTGTGTATTTATCCACTTTAATGCAAGGAGATGCGATAGAGTGCTCAATTTGCTGTTCACAAGCTGTTGAAACTTTGAGGGTGTGTACTGAAACATTAACACTCCCACCCAGGGCCATAGCAAGGGAATTCTGGGACTTAAAATTTTATTGGGTCTGATGTTTGAGGTGAATAATAATATATTCATTGGATCAGACTAAACCATTTTAGGGAGGGGAGAGGAACAGATATTTGGAAAACTTCTTTCAGCAAATTGTATGCTTTTGTGATTTCCATTAAAATCTCAGGCATACAGCTATATATATATATATATATATATATATATTCACTGAACAGGGACCAATATAGTATAGCTTCTAGATTTTGTGAGGCCCCCTGGGCAGAGGGGGCCTTTATAATTGTCACGACCTTTTGCCCCACTAGCAGCAGCCCTGCTCCCACCCCATCCCACCACGCACTTAATCTCTTGCTGCTTTTGTCCCCCACGGACTGTTCATTTCAAAAATCATTTTCAATTCTCATGTGTAATTCTTATGTGCAATACTATATGAGCGAGTTGACTGCTCATAAGTGGATGAGTGGGCCTTACTAAGTTAATACTCTTGCCCCTCTCTGTTGTGTCACTTTACTTTTCTCTCATCTTGCACTGTCCCTGTTTGAACTGTACCACTGCACTGCGTTGTTTCATGCGTAAATTCAAATATGTTTAAAGTTTTCATGTAAAGTATTTATGTAAGGTATATTTATACTTGAAGTATATGTATAGTTAGTTTACTCTTTAAATATGTCCGTTGTGTGTAGGTTTATATATGTTATATGTTTATATATTTCTTTGTTTTGAACAGAGGTCTCTTTTGCATCTTACTGTGTTTAAATGTTTTAAAATCGTTTGAATGTTTAAATTTACAGGATTTAAAAACATGTGCAAATGACAAACTTCTGTGATTACACAGTCGCAGCACTGGCCCGCTGAAACACTAAGTCACATCACAATATCTATTTTATTTCTACATATCGTGCAAACCTAAAATGTGTATGGTTTGTTAAAATAAAGGGTAACTGGAAAGAAGATCTGCTACTTTTTAATGTTCCAATTATACCCCTACAGAGAGCATGATTTTCAGATTTTCTTGAGTACATCTGGAAAATGTCTTTATCTGTCACAAGCTTCACATGCAGGTGTTGAACTTGAAGCTTAAACTTAAAAAGTATTAACTTAAGGCCTTTCTTCATCGCTGACAATCAGTAGGTCACTTCTGAAGGTTTACTGTAATTAATTGAGTAGTTAAAATATTGTGTTACTGTTTTGCTAACCTATTTTACCAGTTGAAAATAACTGACTCAAGAGTGATGACTGATGAAGAGTGATGAAAAAACTGACCCATAAACTGATATATTTATGAATCAGGTAAATCTAGCTCTTTTTCTACAACAGACTTATAGAGAGTATAGACAAAATGATTGCTAAAAGATTGTGAGAGAAATATTTCTACATTCTGATAATGATTCATAAGCTAAAAAACGAAACACTGACCTTCTGACTGACCCTTCTCTTGTAACTCTTTGATTTTACTCTCCATTCTCTTCAGTTCTTCTTCATATTTCTCCTCCAGTACATGTCTGGCTCTGTTCTCTTGAGCCTTCACATACATCTGAGGTGAATATGGTTCAGTCTTCATGTTCTCTATATAATCCAGTAGATCTGGGATCTGTCTTGAGTTTTCAGGTTCCTTCAAGCCCATCACTCTGTACTGACCTCCACAGAGACGGATTAACCTCTGAGATTCTGGGCTGGATTTTATGAATTCTGTCACTGGACTTTTAACAGGGACCTCACTGATAAATATTACTATGAAGTGCTCTTTAGAGTAAAATATCCTCTGGATCTCCTCCATTTCTGCTTTGGCATCATTATTTAGTGGACCAACAGGAACAATGATGATGAAGGCATGAATTCCAGGATGACAGAGAGACACACAGCGGAGAGTCTGACGCATCACTTCCTCCTCTGAGAGACGACTGAGAGCTGGAAGACTGATCAGATTGATCAGATGTCCATGAATCTTCTCCTCTTTCTTCACACACTCTTCACTGATCTCATTTTTATGTGAAGATTTAATTCTCTTCCCTCGTAAAAGTTTGGATACAGAAACTGTAAGTGTTGTATCACTTCCACACAGCATCAGATTCAGCTTCTGTTTTCTTGAGACATTCAGTGACACTGAAAAACATTAAGAGACATGAGTGCACTCACACACACAGATACATAAACATATAGCTGAATGGTCAACTTAATGTTGGGGCAAACTCCCTCTGGATTTTGAGCTCTTATACTGGCCGTGTTAAAAAATAAATTCTTAATGTAAATATAACCATGACGTCCCACCTGAACCATGACTTGAATACCAATAAATAAATAAAACATATGACAGTTCAAAATTTTTGTACAAGCTTGTAATGCTTTTGTATAAATCATTACAAGCTGAACTGACGTTACTGGTGTGATGCCAAAATAACAACAAAAGCTATTTTGGAGAGGAATGTGTTTAGTGCCCTCCATTTCAACATCAGCATAGATCATTTTGGCATCCGTGCTTTAACTTGTGATTATAAAGGAATTATCTTATTTTTGGTGACATCGTAATGTCATTATAAACACATAACAGTCAGACAAAGTAGCTATGATGCTTGATTATTGGATTAAACCCAGCTTAAGTTTGTTTTTTGGCTCCACAGACCTTTGTAGCTTTATTGATTGATTGATTGACAGTTAATGTACGCATGTATTTCATGATAATAATCTTAGACACCCGTTCTGAAAACTTACCAAAAAAATTAAAAATAAAAATACTTTACCTTCACTTCTCTCTTTAGGTTTTCCATAATATTTGTGGTGAGAACTTCCCTCATATTCTTCCTCTGATCTGGGTGGATCATCAGATCTGCTCTGCTCTTCATCCGCTGATGTCCCCATAACATCGTCATATATCTCACATGTGAGATAGTCTTCCAGGTTTTTCTTGAGTATCTCATCAACCCTCTTGAATATCGCAGAACACCATTCTGGTTTTCTTTCATCAAACTGCAGATGTCCTCCTCCACACTCCATTATTAACTGAAGAATAGTATGCTCTTTCATATTACTCATGTGTGTCTGTTCATCGGTCGTGATCACTATTGTACGTTTAATTGCTTCTTCACTGAATTTGTTGAGCACATATTTCACTCTTCCCATGTCCTCCTCAGTGAAGTCTTTATACTGCAGTACAAGTATGAATGCATGAGGTCCTGGATCAGACATGTCCACACAGTTGCTCACTGTCTGTGTGATCTGATGATCTGAGATGTTTGGATTCAGCAGATGAAGAGTGTTAATGACTGTGATGTGTCTGTCCTTCACTGGTTCACTGATTTTCATCACATTGTGCTGCTGTAAAGATGTACATTCATCATTCTCATGCACATCTACTCCCAGGATTAAACTTCCGACTCTGCTGTTTTCTAATCCATTTTTCCCCAGAAGAACAATTCTCAGATCACACACTGGAAAACATACAAAACACATCATGTAAAGACAGAAATACTGAAAAGTCATCACCTATAAGAATCTTATAAAATCAAAGTTCAGACTTCATTCAGTAAATATAAAACCTATGCACAAGCCCTCACACACACACACACACACACACACACACACACACAC